TTATTACCTAAACATGTTCATCCTAAGCTTCCTGATTACGACCAAATTGTTGCTCAGTTTAAAGCCCTTAGGACACAACACCGTATGCATTCTTAACGGTTTACTTTAAGGGGCAATTGCAAAAATGTCACTTTTGGTATATACATTTGCAAAAATGTCATTTAGGGGTGTCCATTTGCAAAAATGTCACTAATTATAGATTTTTAAAACCTAAATCTTAAGATTATAAATCTTAAAAAATGTATTGACCCCAAGACCTCTTAAACCCTCAAAACTAAACCATAATATAACATAGTTAACCCAAACATAGTTAAATGATATAATAAATTTTTTTTTTGAAAAAGTGGCATTTTTGCAAAGATTATGAAAATATGGTATTTTGAAAATTGATATTTTTAAAAATTTCTCTTACTTTAAAGCCTGATTTTTAATAAAACTTTCACATATTCGTAATCTATGTATAAACTTGATTACGAATATGTGAAAGATTTTTTCTTGTCATTATTCACAAATTGCTCAGTTGAGTCATGAGTGCATGTTTTACTTGATCTTCTCAATAATTATAGGAGTACCAATTTCCCTAACACTTCCCTACTAATATACTTCACAATAATGATAATTGTGATCAGTTTGACAAAAAAAATGATAATTGTGATCAATCCAAGACAATATACCACAATATTCTTACGACGACCAAGGTAATTCTAATTATGTTTTAACTTTCAAAGAATCATGTGAGGAAATCAACCTAACATATCTGCCAAAGTGCCAATCGAAGCAACTAATTCTTCTACATTGAAGAGTACATCTCGTGTGGCTCGTCATGGAAGCCACAAACATCCACTGGAGAGTCCGATTCAACAACCTAGTTTATGAATTATTAAACTAAATATGGATGGTTTTACCTATTCAACAACCTAGTTTCTAGAGAAATTGTCGACAAAGAAGAGGAATGGAATAATTTGGTTCTCGCCGAAGAAGTTGATCTGAGAAAAAGATTCGCGTGCTCTGTGTATCTGAAGTCCACCTCTCTCTCCTTGCAGCTCATATGCAAGTTGTAACTCACCTTCATCGTCCTATCTCCACTGGTACCGATGGAATATAGGAAAGCTTAAAGAGGTAAACATTTTAATCAATTGTATGGACTTTTGGTATCAAAATTCCATTTTAAATGAATTTCCATGAAAAAGTGCAGAAGAGAGTTAGCATTGTACATTCTTTCTTTTATGAGTCGAATGTTCTATTTGTATTTTGTACAAACATAACTCAAATTACCATAACCACTAAAATTGGTCTCACCTTCCTCTTTGAGCACTCAAAAATAGATGAAGACTTTTTTTGGTTTCAGCTTCTTCTTTAGTTCATTGTTAATGTCAATCACGGAAGTGAAGAGGGTTACATTGGATGAGGGATAAATAAAAAGATTACCATAAAGATGTATGGGAGATTCAAAGAATACTATTAGCGAGACTATCATTTGACAACATGGAAGGAGATGAAGCTCGGTTCAAAAACAAATTACACTCTAATTGCATATATTAGGATCACAGAGCATTATAGTCTCTAACATTTTTGTGTCTCAGCTGGCTATTAAAAGAAACTTACAAATTTTTGTATAAGGTCCAACATAGGCAATTTTATAAAATAACTTTTTGATAAACAAAAACAGAATCAAAGCAGAATGGTATAAAAGCAGAAGAACACTAGCAGAACTCAAAAATCAGCAACACAAACAACATCAATACAGAGAGAATCAAAGCAGAATGGTTTTCACAACATTCAATAAGGAATCACTGAGCTGGAGCCAAGAGGGCCTCGCGGTAAGATTTGAATTTTAATATCTTGTTTCTCTTCTTAAGAGAAGGAGTCTTGCAGGCACGATTCACGACTGTCCTCTGTTCACAAGAAACGACAAAATCTGGATCTTCATCTTCATTGCTGCCAACCGAAGATTCTGGTTCCGTACCTGGTGAAGGAGGAGGTGAATTACACTGAGGAATGTACGGTTCTTCCATAGGTTAAATTGAAGGTTACTTGTAATCAGAATCAGGATCATATTCATCTTGTGATCCATTCTCCACACCATCAGATCCAGCATCATTAACAACCAGATAGTGGATGATAATTTTTCCAGCGTGAACAGAATACCTATAGACCCTCTTCCTGAAGATCCTTTCATCGAAATTACGTTGAGCCTCAGTGATGTTGATGATATAAGTGGCATTCTTGCAGATGTGCATTCAAAAAGTGGCATTTTTGTAATTGCCCCATTTTTTATAAAGTTTATACTCATTTTATTTTTTTCTTAATTTATTTTTATAATTAGTTTGAACTATTATTCTTTTATATAGTTAGTTAGGACGATTAGATTTTTTTTTTCTAATTAGTTTGAACTATAAGAAAATTCTACTTTTACTATTTGGTTAGTAATTCGATAATTAATTTGTCCGTTTTCCATTTTTATTTTTATTTTTTTTATCTATTAATGTTAAATGTTAACGTATATCATCATCTAATTCATATCAGCTATATGTTGTGATTTAATGAGTTATAATTTTTATTACATGTCATGCTATCGTTAAGCGTTAAGCGCATATAGAACTTTTTTTTCTATTTTTTGTTTGCATTTTTTTTTCTTGTTTTTTAGTTACTTTTCCTTTTTTTTTTACAATGAGAATTAAACTAATCTTTGCTTTGGCATTTTTTCTTGTTTGAACTTTTGGAAATTTTGTGTGTTATGTTATGGCATTTTTTTAAGGACACGTTTTAGACATTTCCAA